GAGTTTTTTGAGTACTGAAACTGAAGTCCCAGGGTAGTGTAAACAGTTAATGTGCTTGGGTAGTAACTGAAATGTTGCAGGTTCAAGTCCACTCAGAGGCATCTTGGAAGAAAGTCCTGGCAATTTACTTTCAAAAATCAGCCACTGAAAACTCTATGGAGGACTGTGACACATACAGTGTCACCATGAGTCAGAGTTGACTTGACAGCAACTGGTAATTGGTAAAAGTGTCTAAACCAATATGAATTGGATTTCCAACTCTTCAGCAGTGTTTCTTTCTCGAGAGTGTAATGCCAGGCTTTTTCTATGAAGACTGTAGCCCATGAGAAGATAACATGTCCTACAAGAGTGCTAGGACTTTCATGTGGCTCTCAAGGTAAGAGCTGCTGTTGCCTTAGAATGGTTGTAGAGAAGATCTAATTCACTCTGATAGTGACTTCTAGCCATCTAACTCTATTCAACCCACTACCCAGCAGAGACATTCAGCCTGTGGCATGTTGGCAGTTTAGGACCTGTGTCTCAAACCCCACTGTCTTTTCCAGGGTGGACTTGGGCACAAAATTTAAAAGAATACCCATAAACTTAGTAATCAACATTAAAAGTGTTTTTAAAAATCAATATATAAAAATTCTTTGCTGAACAAAATCTCAAAAGTGCAAATCAAGACAAGGTTAACGTCACTGATTTTTCCTTGTCTCATGCTCCAGTGTGGCTCAGCCAAGCCTTGTAACTTCTTGTTGTTGTTGGTGCCATCGAGTCATCTCTGACTTATAGTGACCCTGTGCACAGCAGAATGAAACATCGCCCAGTCCTGTCCCAGCCTCACGATCCTTGCTATACCTGAGCTTATTGTTGCAGCCACTGGGTCAATCCATCTCTTCACTTTACCAAGTTGATCCTCCACTCTACCAAGCATGATATCTTTCTCCAGGGAATGGTTCCTTCTGACAACATGACCAAAGTAGGTGAGATGAAGTCTGGCCATTCTCGCCTCCAAGGAGCATTCTGACTGCACTTCCTCCAGGACAGATTTGTTAGTTCTTTTAGTAGTCCATCGTAATTTTAGCATTCTTCACCAGCACCACAACTCAAAAGCATTAACTCTTCTTTGGTCTTCCTTATTCATTGTCCAGCTCTCACATGCGTAAGAGGTGATTGAAAATACCATGGCTTGGGTTAGGTGCACCTTAGTCTTCAAGGACATATCTTTGCTCCTCATCACTTGAAAGAATTCCTTTGCAAGAGATTTGCCCAATGCAATACGTCATCTGATATCTTGACTGCTGCTTCCATTGGTGTTGATCGTAGAGCTAAGTAATATGAAATCCTTGACAACTTCAATCTTTCTTCCATTTATCATGAAGCTGTTTATTGGACTAGTTGTGAGGACTTTTGTTTTCTTTATACTGAGATCTAATTCATACTGCAGACTGTAGTCTTTAATCTACATCAGTAAGTGCTTCAAGTTATCCTCACTTTCAGCAAACAAAGTTGTATCATCTGCATATCGCAGGTTGTTAATGAGTCTTCCTCCAAACCTGATGCCACATTCTTCTTCATATAATCCAGCTTCTTGGATTTTTAGCTCAGCATACAAGCTGAATAAGTATGATGAAAGGATACAAGCTTGATGTATCCCTTTCTTGATTTTCAACCATGCAGTATCCCCTTGTTCTGTTTGAATGACAGCCTCCTGATCTAGGTACAGGTTCCTCATGAGTACAATCAAATGTTCTGGAATTCCCATTCTTCTCAATGTTATTGATAATTTATGACCCACACAATTGAATGCTTTTGCATAGTCAATAAAACATAAATAAACATCTTTCTGGTATTCTTTTTCAGCTAAGATCCATCTGACATCAGCAATGATATCCCTTGTTCCACATCCTCTTCTGAATCCAGCTTGCAATTCTGGAAGCTCTCTGTCAATATACTGCTGCAACCATTTTTGAGTTATCTTCAGGAAGATTTTACCTGCTTATGATATTAATGATATTGTTCAGTAATTGCCACATTCTGTGAGATCACCTTTCTTTAGAATGGGTACAAATATGTACCCAGTCAGTTGCCAGGTAGCTGTCTTCCAAATCTCTTGGCATAACTGAGTAAGTGCCTCCAGTAGGGCATCCGTTTGTTGAAATATCTCAATGAGTATTCTGTCAATTCCTGGAGCCTTGTTCTTCACCAATTCTTTCAGTGCAGCTTTGACTTCTTTCAATACCATTGGTTTTTGATCATATGCCACCTCCTGAAATAGATGAACATCAACCAATTCTTTTGGTACACTGACTCTGTGTATTCCTTCCATCTTCTTTTGATGTTTCCTGAATCATTCAATATTTTACCCATAGAAGGTTTTAACATTGTAACTCAAAGCTTAATTTTTTTTTCTCAGTTCTTTCAGCTGAGAAATGCTGATCATATTCTTCTCTTTTGGTTTTCTAACTCCAAGTTTTTGCACATTTCATTATAGTAATTGACTTTGTCTTCTCAAGCTGCTCTTTGAAATCTTCTGTTCAGTTTTTTTACCTGTTGATTCTTTCATTTGCTTTAGCTACTCTCCACTCAAGGGCAAGTTTCAGAGTCTCTTCTGACATCCATTTTGGTCTTTTCTTCCTTTTTTGTCTTTTTAATGACCTCTTGCTTTCTCCATGGATGGTGTTCTTGATGTCATCCCACAATTCTCTAGGTTTTGGTTATTGGTGTTCAATGCACCAAATCTATTATTTAAATGGTCTCTAAATTCAGGAGGGATATTATCAAGGTCATATTTTGGCTCTTGTGGACCTGTTTTTATTGTCTGAAACTTTAACTTGAACGTGCGTATAAGCAGTTGATGGTCTATTCCACAATCGGCTCCTGGCTTTGTTTTGGCTGAAGATATTGAACTTCTTGCCACAGATATAGTCATTCTGATTCCTGTGTAGTCCATCTGGTGAAGTCCATGTGTATAGCTGTCACTTATGTTGAAAAATGGTATGTGTAATGAATAAGTTGTTGGTCTTACAAAATGCTATCATTTGATCTCCAGTGTTATGTCTACTACCAAGACCAACTACCAGTGATTCTTCTTTGTTTCTAACTTTTGCATTCCAGCCACCAGTGATAATCAACACATCTTGATTGCATATTTGGTCATTTCAGACTGCAGAAGTTGGTAGAAATCTTCAATTTCCTCATCTTTGGCTTTGGTGGCTTGATTTGGATAACAGTAGTATTAACTGGTATTCCTTGTAGACGTATGGATATTATCCTACCACTGACAGCATTGTACCTCAGGACAGATCTTGAAACAGTCTTTGTGATGATGAATGCCACACCATTCCTCTTCAATTTGAGATTCCCAGCATAGTAGATCATACGGTTATCTGATTCAAAATGGCCAAAACGAGTCTAATTCAGCTCACTAATGCCTAGGATATCAATCTTTATGTGTTCCATTTCATTTTTGACAACTTCCAATTTTCCTAGATTCATTCTTCATACATTCCATGTTTCAATTATTAATGGATATTTGCAGCTGTTTCTACTCACTTTGAGGCATACCATATCAGCCAATGGAGATACTGAGTTTCCTCTATCTGTGTCATTAAGGTCATCTCTACTCTGAGGAATCAGCTCTTTCCCAGTAAAATTGTGAGTGCCTTCTGACCTGATGGGCTCATCTACTGGCATTATATTGGACAATGTTTCAGTGTTATTCATAATGTTTTCCAGTAATATATCAGACAGTGTTTCACTGCTATATATAATGGTCCGAGGCTCGGGGGCTGCTTTTCACTTGGGGATAGCTCTATTTTAAGGCTGGGGCCCAAGGTAGATGGGGGCCTGAGGTTGGTGGGCCAGGGGCTTGGGGGCTGCTTTTTGCTTGGGGACAGCATTATATTAAGCCCAGGGCTGAGGTAGAAGGGCACAGAAGGTTTAAAAACAACTAAGGAAAATGAACTTGTCTGTCAGTTTATCCTTCTGTGGTGGCTTATTTGTTGCTGTGAGGCTGGAGGCTATGCCACTAGTGTTGCAAAATGCCAACAAGGTTACCCATGGTGGGTAGGTTTCAGTGAAGCTTCTGGGCTAAGACAGACTTGGAAGAAGTAAGAGGCCAACCACTTCTCAAACAATTGGCCAGTGAAAACCTTAGATGTTGTAACTTATCCTACTTTCAAAATTTTACTCTTTTTGGTGCCTCCTTAAATTGTGCTCCTGAGGAAAGCTCAGACCCGTGAAAGTTATTTTCCTGTCTTGCCTTCTGTTTTCTGACAAGCTCCCACTCTCACTGGCTCTGGAGCTCCTATATCACTTTCTGACTATGGTTTTGCCCTTTTCTTACTAGACTGTAATCTCCAAGACACCAGGGTCTGTGTCCCTTTGGGTCATTACTGGATCCTGAGTGGTTTAGTACAGTGTTTGGCACACCAAACCAAATCTAACCCACTGCCACTGAGTCAATTCCAATTCATTCCAAGGCTACACATCTTTACAGAAGTAGAATGCCTCATTTTTGTCCTGCAGAGCAGCTGGTGTGTTTGAACTGCTGACCTTCTGGCTTGGCACACAGTAGCTTAATAAGTGCTTGTTGAATAACTGGATGAAAAGTCTCTTAGATCTGATCTCAGTGCTGTGCGTGACTTCCTTGCATAACTATTCTGCTCTTGGCTGTGAATGTGCCTCTGACTGGTCCCCTACTTCAGAGTTTACTCCAGGGACCATAAACTCCTCTTTGTGGATTTACCCAAACCCTGGAAGAGAGGGAACCTGAAAAAACATATTGAAAAAAAAAAATCAGAGAATGGTGGACTTAAGAAATTCAAAAGGAAATCTGTATTATCACCAATCTAACTAAAAAGAAAAGTAATTAAAATAATGTGAGGGTGTTTTCAAAATTACCCATTTTGCAAAAGATTCAGAAAAAGATATGGCAATTTTGTGACTTGAGCTTTTTTTTTTTTTCCCCAATGATGGCAGAGATTTCACAAGTTCGTGAAGTTGAGAGCACTTACCTTCAATGGTACACTGATCAGGGACTGGAATCTTCTTTCCAATTTCCATGGCATATGCTTTTACTTTGCTGAGGTTTTCCTTTAAGTGTAAATAGAGCTTATCTTTGTATTCTACAGGACTTGGGACTGGCTGTGGAATTCCTTCCTGGAAATTTTCTTTAACTGTTTCTGGCAAATTCTCTGATTCTACTTGTATAATACTTGGGTGTGAAGCTGAAGAATTTTCCAGCTGTGATCTGTCAGTGTCTGCCTTAAAGGGCGACTTGTCATTTTCTTGGCTAAGTGGGTCTATTTCTAAAAGAGAGATGCTAGCTTGTATATTTCCATTCTCCACATCTTCCCCATCATCTGAACTCATGCCCTTTGTGAGCACAGTGTGCAAAGCCAAACTTTTTGACCTACAATACAAACAAAGGGAAACTTAAGATAGTTAAAGAAGTTGAACTACTATCCACTGACAAGCAAAAGAATAATAACACTGGGACAAAACGTTACCTTCTTTAGAGTATGAAACTGAAAATTAGTATTGTTTGCAGATTTGGTAGAACATAGACTACCGACAAACTATGCAATAAAATTGACCTTTGAAATCTACTCCACCTCCCAAAATATAGATTTAATGATGAATTTCATGGCAAGACTAGCTGCAAAATAGTGGATTTATTTAATTTCTTATTTTTTCTAGTTTTGCATCTGCTTTCTCATGAGAAATCAAGAGAAGTGTTTGACAGTCATTCTCAAAACTGGTATAGCTATATTTAAAAAGCATTTTTTAAAAGCAAATCATAAGTTTGTTTTCCATTTGTACTCCCCTGCTTAAAATCATGAGTTTCTTTGGACAAATGAAAGCACTATGGATTAACATTTCATTCATGAAAGGATAGAATTTTGGGTAACTATTTTACAAGACATTTTACAAGCAGCCTATAAACAGTATGATAACAAAACTAGTAGCAAATGTGAATTACATACTTTAAAACACCAACCAAACAAAATTTATACCTGTTAAATCTAATGTCTTTTCTTTCTTCCTTAGAAACTTGGCCCAAACTGTATCTTCTGATAGAGCCAGGGGTATTGCTCTCCGTGTTTATTCTGTCTTCAAATGCCTGTATTTTAACTTGGAGTTTTTCCTGGTCATCATTTTCAGCTACAGTAAGGTTGGTCTCTTCCAGCTTCTTAAGAGACTCGATTTCAGTGCTGCTTTTTCTCCTAAGAAATAAAAATCATTGTTTTAAATGGTAGTCATGTGTACTCTTTGGAACAATTTTACTCTCTAACTAGCTCTTACTCAGAACTGAAAACTTTACCTGATAAAATTGTTTTCATCAGTCATTTAACAAATTGAGTGTCTATTATGGACATGTTCTTGTTGTTAGGTGCCATCAAGGCATTTTGACTCAGCAACCCTATGGTCATTGGATGGAAACACAATCCTCACAATCATTGCCATGTTTGAGCTCATTGTCACAGACACTGTATCAACCCTCCTCAATGAGAATCTTACTCTTTTTCGCTCTGCTTCACCGAGCATGATATCCTGCTCCAGGGTTTGGTCCCTTCTAACAACATGACCAAAGTATGAGAGATGAAATCTGGCCATTCTCACTTCCAAGGAGCATTTTGGCTGTACTTCCTCTAAGACAGATTTGTTCATTCTAGCATTCCATGGTACATTCAGTATTCTTTGCTGACACCACAATTCAAATACATCAATTCTTCTGTCATCTTCCTTATTCACTGACCAGCTCTCACACGCATATGAGGCTATTGAAGACATGTGGCTTGGGTCAGGTGCACCTCAATCTTCAAAGCAACATCTTTGCTCTTACACACTTTAAAGAGGTCTTTAGCAGCAGATTTTTCCAGTGCAATACATCATTTGATTTCTTGACTGATGCTTCCGTTGGCATGGATTGTGCATCCAAGTAAAACTACATCCTTGACAATGTAATCTTTTTTCTATTCTATTTATCATGATGTTGCTTATTGGTCTAGTTGTCAGGAATTTTGTTTTCTTTATGTTGAGGTGTAATCCTTACTGAAGGTGGTAGTGTTTGCTCTTCATCAGTCAGTGCTTCAATTTAGTTTCACTTTCGGTAAACAAGTTGCATTGTCTGCAAATTGTTAATGAATCTCCCTCCAATCCTGATACCTCATTCTTGTTTATATAGTTCAACTTCTTGGATTACTGGCTCAGGACATAGACTGAATAAGTATGGTGAAAGGATACAACCTTGATGCACATTTTTCCTGATTTTAAACCACAGAGTATTCCTTTGTTCTGTTTGAATGACTGCCTCTTGGTCTATGACCAGATTCCTCATGAGCACAATGAAGTGTTCTGGAATTCCTGATCTTCACAATGTTATCCATAATTTGTTATGTTCCACACAGTCAAATACTTTTGCATAGTCAATAAAACACTTTCTGGTATTCTTTGGTTTTATCCCAGATCCATCTGACATCAGCAATGATATCCCTTGTTTCACACCCTCTTCTGAATCTGACTTCAATTTCTGGTAGTTCTCTGTCAATGTACTGCTGCAACTGTTTTTGAATTTTCTTCAGCAAAATTTTACTTGAGTGTGACATTAATGGTATTGTTGGATAATTTCTACATTCTTTTGGATCACCTTTCTTTGTAATGGGCACAAATATGGATCTTTTCCAGTCAGTTGGCCAGGTAGCTATCTTCCAAATCTCTTGGCAGAGCCTAGTGTGTGCCTCTACCGTGGCATCTGTTTGTTGAAACATCTCAGTGGGTATTCCATCAATTCCTGGAGCCTTGTTTTTCTCGAATTCCTTCAGTGCAGCATGGAGCTCTACCTTCTGTACCATTGGTTCTGGATCATATGCAGCCTCCTGAAGTGATTGAACATTGACCAATTCTTTTCAGTACAATGACTGTGTATTCCTTCTATCTTCTTTTGATCCTTCCTATCTCATTCAATATTTTGCCCCTAGAATCCTTCAATTGTAATTTGAGGCTTGATTTTTTTCTTCAATTCTTTCAGCTTCAGAAATGCCATCCATGTTCTTTTCCTTTTATTGTCAATGCTAGATTTTTGTGCATTTCATAATAATACTTCACTTTGACCTCTCAAGCTGCCCTTTGAAATGTTCTGTTCAGCTCTTCTCTTTCATCATTTCTTCCATTTACTTTAACTACTGTGCCTTCAAAAGCAAGTTTCTGAGTCTCTTCTGACACCCATTTTGGTCTTCTCTTCCTTTCCTGTCTTTTTAATGCCCTTCTGCTTTCTTCATGTATGATGTTCTTGATGTCATCCCACAACTCGTCTGGATTTCAGTCGTTGGTGTACAATGTATCAAATCTATTCTTCAAATGGTCTCTAAATTTAAGTGGGGGTATACTCAAGGTCAAGGAGCTCTGGTAGCACACTGCCTAAGATATCTGATTGCTACCCAGAAGGTTGGTGGTTCAACCCCACTAGCCAATCCGTGGAAGGAAGACTGGGTAATATACTTCCATAAAGATTTACCTTCTCAGAAACCCAATGGAGGTTGCTATGAGTTGGAATCAACTTGATGGCAATGGGTTTGGTTTTGTTTGGTTTGATACTCAAGGTCACATTTTTGCTCTCACAGACTTTTTCTTTTTAATGAACATAGGTCTTTGGAATTGCTTCTGTAGCTTATTCTGCTAGAAGTTTGGAAACATTGGTGTTTACATCAGCTTTGTATTGGGAATATTTTTTGAAGAATAAAAAACACTTTTATGAAGTCCTGAGTGGCACAAATAGTTAAGCACTTGGCTACAAATAAGAAGTTGGTGGTTTGAATTCCACCCACAGGTATCTTGGAAGAAAATCCAAATTCACTGCCATTGAGTCAATTCTGACTCATAGCAACTCTATAAGACAGAGTAGAACTGCCCCATAGGGTTTCCAAGCTTGGAAATCTTTACAGAAACAGACTAGAAACAGATTGCTTAATCTTTCTCCTATGGAATGAACAGCTGACCTTTTAGTTAGCAGTAGAATGCTTTAACTACTGTGCCACCAGAGCTCCATCTTATAAGAAAGGCAATGAAACACTTTTGAAAGGTCACAGCCATGAAAACTCTACGGAGTCACCTGAAGCACATGAGGCTGCTATGAATTAGAATCAGCACAATAGCAACTGGTTTCCATATTCATATGTAGAAGCCCTCCTAAAGCATGGCTTTCATATTGCAATTCATCTGAAATTCAATGCTTATAGGTTTCTCCTGAAGTTGTTAGAATAAGAAAACCTCAAATGGACTATGTAAACTCATGGTTTTATTAATTTTATGAAAATCAGTGTAATTATTTCTTCTTATGAAGCAATAAAAATCTTTCTGAATTTTAAGATGCTAGAAGAAAGTGGTTTTCCATGAGTGATATTAATAGTTCCAAATACCTTTTATAGCAGATTTTATAAGACACTCTGTGAGTCATTAAAATTACCTATTTTAACATAGGGACCATTTTGGTACAACTTTGTGACCCCTTTGTGACCCCTCCAAGGTTTAATCTTCTGTACTAAGAGCTTATGGAAAAGCTGTAGCATACATAGCTCACTGATGCTCATTCATGAGCTGAATGATTACAGAAAAAATAGTAAGTATTTATCTTCCCTTCTCTGTCTTCTAATATTGAGCAAGTCTAGAGCTCCTTTAATTTTTTTTTAAGAATCATCATCAATCATATCATATAGTGTTAGTATTATTTCTTTCCTTATAAAAGCAAGGGCTAATAATCCCTAGAAATAAGTTCACCAAGATGGTCTAATGATTCTGTTGGTTTGTCTGTGGCCATAGGTGTGTAGCTACAGTCAATTCTGACTCGTAGTGGCCCAATAGGGCAAAGTAGAACTGTCCCATAGGATTTCCAAGGCTGTAATCTTTATAGAAGCAGACTGCTACACATCTCTGTCACAGAGTGGCTCATGGGTTCGAATTGCTGACCTTTTGATATTAGCCAACATCAGAACTCTTCTGTTAAGATGACAGCCAAGAAAGTCCTACAGAGAAGTTCTACTCTGTAACATATGGGGTCACCACGAGTTGGAATAGATTCCCCGGCAACTAACAACACTTTTCCTATACATTGAGGAAAAGTCCCAAAGTACAGAAAAGTGCTGGCATTCTCAAACATATGATTACTTTTTCTAAGGGTCAAACTGAAGTTGATGTAGTCCCTGGATGAGGGTGGGAGAAAGACACCATCTTTTATTTTTTAAAGGCACTACATTTTGGAGTAAACCAATACAGAAGCGCTGGAGATCTGGAGACTATTTCTTTCTGCTACATTCAACTCATTTTGGGGCAATGACTCAATCTGTGGGTTGCTACTGGAGAAGGTGAGTTGACAGAGTTGGATCCAGTTGGATCCAGTAGTTCTTCTGGCTGGTCCAGAGAAGATCCTGGCCATGAGAGAGGGTTCATAGCCACGTTTCCTCAGTAGTTAGAATGCCCCATCAATCCAGCCCAGAGGTAGCTCTTTGATAATACAAGCTGGGAAGGAGAGTAGATCACCAATTAGGTAACCAGGCCATTGTTTATTCCTAATAAGGTATTGTAGGGAAAATTTCCTTTTTTTTTTTTTTTTTTAAACATAATCTTTATAGACTTCAAACAGCTTTGCATAACATTCATTGATTTATCTATACATGCTTGAATGAAATATACGAGAGTAGATTTTAAGAAAGGAACTCTGGTCTGACAAGGGACAAGGTTGTAGTCACTTCTTGATCACAGCCAGCTACCCAAAGGGACTGAGTAGTTGAACCTGGGAGCTTGGGACCATAGCCACATGGGACATCAAGCTCAATTGGCATAACATACTACA